AATGGGACCAATTTTAAATGTGAATTAAGTTTAAGCATCTAATGATTTTTTTTCTTTTTCTTTCAGATTTGGTGGACATTTGCGCGATATTATTTTTCGCACATAATTACCATGACTTAAATAACATGAGCCAATAGAGAAATAAACTTTCAACCAATAACACTGATTTATTTACTGCTGACTTTGATCCCTCTTAATGGAACACCCTTATATATCGACAGTATCTTCTTTTTTACATCTTCTCATCTGAAACACACTTGTATCAACATTCCACTCAACCTAGCCAAGTGAATTGAGATATTATGGTGGCTGTGGTAAGAATGGTAAGTAAGAATGCATTGTGTAAGGAATACCGTGGTATGTCTGGGTTAGTAATTGTGGCTAGCTAAGTTCAATTAATACAGATTGAAGACCAGCCTTCCCCTATCTCTAGCTTTGGCCTTGTGCCACATTTTTGTATTTTTCAATATAAATATCACTTATGACACTTAGACTTTATGAATTCAAGCACAGGACTGGATTGGCGGCTAGGTCTCATCATTCAAAATCCTAGCTTTAAACTAGTCTCAAAAACTGATGATCCAACAGAAAATCCATTTAATTATTCCAACCATAAGGTCAGCCTCTTTCGATTTACTCTTGTGCACTTTAAAGCGTTTAACAGATTGCCACTTTGTTAGAAATAAAGACATAGTAAAAATCAATTTTCCCTGGGGTTATGTAAATTTGGGAAGCAAAAAAATGCCATCAACAGCTTGCATTGAACATATTTGACATTTCTACGACCAACTCTTCTGCATTTGTAAATAAACAAATGTAAGCAGAATTTGATTTTTTCAGGGCAGAATCAAAAACGTGCGATACAAGCTCAGTTGTAGGAATCAAAAATAGATTTAATAAAAAGATAAAAGAATTATTTATTACACAAATAAAGGAAAAAAGGATTTCTAAAATGTTTGCCATATTGACAAGCTTTTAGAAAATGTCAGCTAATATCAATTCTTTTCAAAATGGATCTGAAGGCTGAAAATATCAACACAGGAGGGACAAATACATGATTTAAATCTCTTAAATGAAAGTCTGGCTGCTTTTTACCCCCAGAAACTTTTTTTTTTATTTAATCTTGTATATTGAGTGATAGTAAGCAACAATTATTATAAATTTCTTAAATTTCTTTCATTGCAATTTCTGGCGCTTTTTTATTGCAACACTCATTTGGGGGCATTGTAGATCTGAAATAAAATAAAATCCTGTGGGAAGATTTGAACTTTCAAACCTTATTCTTGGGAGCTTTAAATTTCTCAAGGCTTATTTATTTTTGATCTAGGCTTCATACTAAAGAGCAAAAAATGAAAATCTGGGAATTGCAATGAAGAGCAAGAGAAATAAGATGAAAGAAATACTAGTCAAAAATGAATAATAATTGAAAATGTTTCATTTAAGAAATTCAAATGTAATTGTTTTTCTTAAGGTCCTTTTAAATTAATGTTGTTTTAGTTGTTTAATACTGTTACTTAAAACACAATAAAAATATATTAATTTGGATTAAAAAGGTTTCAATGTAACAAAGCAAACATCAAAACAAATATATGATCACAAAAAATGCATACAAAAACATGCATGGGTATTAATAAAAGTAAATGATAACAAAAATAATGCATGCGGATTCATATGCAGAAAAAGGAAAAAAGTGATCATGCAAATACTGTTTTCTCCTGGAGATGATTAATATTTTAACAAAGTTCTTGTCTGCAGCATGCCATAATGGTAGATATAGAAAAGTACAGAGATTCACCTGTACTACTGATTGCAGGTAATCAAGTTCTGTCACAAATAACCTTGCTATTTGAGATAAGATGAACAGAACAAGCCCAACATAATACCCTGATGTCCACTGAGTCATAGAATCAACTCAGCAATGTTGTATATGTTGAGAAGAAGAAAAGTTTGTTTAGTTAATGAGATGTATCAAAAATAGGTTTTGTCTTTTATGACTTTTTCATATACATTATGACTTATTTTATTTTATTTATTTATCATTACTATCGTAATAATAAAGAACATGACTGTAGGACTCATTCCTGTAGTAATGGATACACTTGAAACACAACCTAGAAAATTGAAAAAGCACTTAGGCAAAATTGGAACTGAGACAAAGATTGTAGAGCTCCAGAAAAATGCCATTGTTTACTTTGTGATCATTCTCCAAGACTTTCTTGAGTTGTGAGGAGTCTTGTTGATACCTTGCCTAAAGGTTGGTTGGCTGATTTTCTTTAGCAGCATATCAACACCTGTATGGGTTATTTAATGCCAAAATCTAAATATATTTTGAATGCAATTGTATGCTTTCAACTACAGATAAAATTGGTAATTTTTCTATAAATAGGTATTGTTGGTAATTATTTCATATAAAAATGTATTGTTGGTATTTTTACATTTTCATAGTGTTTTGTTTTTGTTTGGGGGTTCACTATTTGCCCATAGTTAGGACCCTAACAGGTTCTAAAATTCATAATAAAATTAGGGTGAATCTAAATATTTTCATTTAGTACAGCTCTTTACTCTAAAGTTAATTTCATGTACCTATCTAAAGATTATGATTCAATTATCTTATTAATATTATTATTATTATTATTATATAGATATATTAAATCAAACATTATTATACTGGCTACTTATTTAAAATAAATGTCCCACTTTTATTTTAAACAGTGCGTATTATGTCTATGGCCTGCACACTTGAGAAATCTTAATAAAGAAAATGTGTTTTCTGGTAGGGATTGAATTTGTGTCCTCTTTTGTAGGAGAAGCCACTGTTTGACCAAGCATGCTTTACCATTTGGCTACAGAAAGTGTTACAGTTCAGCAAGGCTCTATTTTCCTTTTAAGGGAAAATGCACTTCCTCATTCAGATGAGTAGCCATTGTAACAACGTTTAAAGCAATAAAAATGTTGAATCAAAAATAAATCCATTAATTCTTTGGAAATTGCTTTGTTTACGTTTTGTAAATTGTGGCTGGGTGTGTTTTCTTTCAAGCAGTGGCAGGATGCAAGGACAAGGGCTGCATAGCAAATATAAATGTTAATGTTTATCTCATCCTCACAGACCTCTGAAATCCATCCATGGATTCCCTTGGTTAAGAAGCCCTGACATAAACATTGCAGCTGGTCAATTTTTTGGCTTTCTTTTTGTTAATACAGATTGACCTATATTGTTAAGAAAAAGAAAAAAGACAGCAATATTTAAGTAATTTTATAATTGGATTCGTTGTTTCCTGCATTAGTGATGTTGTTGCATGTAAAAATAAGTATACTTTTTAAATCATTAAAATTACAAATAACCAAAGGAAAGAGAATATGAAACAAATAAGAAACAATATATTAGCAACCTATTTTCCGTACTAATGAGATATTACACTGTTATGCTAACAAGGTATCTTTGCTTTCTGATGTATACCATAACAATGGAATATCTCATTACTAAGTAAGGAGGATCAGGTTGCATGACTGATAAATATATGAAGTCACATTGTGTTTTATATTATAGAATAGATAGCATTCAGTAAATAGCCTATGGTTTTTGGTGGCTTGCAGTGAGTACTCCCCCCCAACCAATTTTTTTTTGTAAAACATTTTATCAGTGGGGAAAATATGGTAAATATTTAAAAAAAAATTTTTTTTTCTCTAAATTACTGTTTAAAAATTAGTTTTTAAAACTTTAATATTCACAAGATATCACTGAATAAAGTTGAAGCACTGACTGTTAAACTGAATGAAAATAAAAATATTTAATGTAATAAATGACATTTTATACTAAAACTTATGTTATTTGAAAACGCTATTAATTACAGAAGTAACTAAAGAAAAACAGGCAAGCATGGACCTTCATGCCTGCCAAAAAATAGAATCTCAAAAGGATGTTTTTTCCCATGACATTGTTTTTATTTTAACTACCTTCACTCCTCAACAATGTTTATTGTTTTAAAAAGTGATGACTAGAATTGTAATAAAACCTAAACATATGATGAAAGTGGGTTTACAAATCTTTTTTATTCTTGAGAATTTAAGACAAAAAAAAAGTAAATATAAAATTATTCTTGTAAATAAACAATCTGATGAATAGTGTTTGAAATTTTGTTGTCAATTATCAAGAATAAAAAAAAAATGTATAAATTCACTCATATGTTTAGGTTTTATTACAATTCTAATCATCGCTTTTTAAAACAATAAACATTGCCAAGGAGTGAAGGTAGTTAAAATAATAATGGTGTCAAGGGAAAAACTGTCCTTTTGACACCCGATTTTTGCAGGCATAAATATCCAGGTTTGCCAAAAACATTTCAGACATTTTAATCTGTTTAATATGCAGTAATGACTGGATTGGTTCCTCTGAAGGGTGACAAAGGATGTAACAGATTTTTAATATTACTGCTCTTTGGACAACAAAGTAGTTATGAGAGATTTCTTTTTCCACATGCTCAAACACCCCTTTTCTCTATAAACGATTGTGGCATGCTAGTGACTAGACATTTTTGTCAATATATTTGGTGATGAGTTGAGTGCAGGGATGGAGATTAAATCCTTTTTATGCTTGACTACTATTTACCAATTCCATGGATCTAGAGGTAGATAACGACTTGAATAAAACAATTGACAAAATGGATTAAGCCTAATTGACTAAAATAGTGATGCAATCTCATCAAAATATTTTGACAAGTACATCTAAGTCCTCATTGATTATTGATTAATTTGTTTTATGGGTTATCAACCTTTTGCAGGTTATTTAAAGCCAGAAAATATTTTTAGATTGTGAGAATTTTTTTGGGAGATAATGATACTAGTTCTACTAATTAACCCATAGCTGGGGTAAGAGGTGTGTTCATATCATTCCCAAGGGTATTTGTATGTAAGTGAATATAACGAGCCTAACTAGAATTGGAACTCGGCTCTCTGATTAACAATTCTAAACCGTCATCCATTACACCAACTGCACATCCAAGCTTACAGCATCTGGTATTCCTAAGTGGATACTCATCTAGGAACAGACCAGGCTCGAGGTTGCTTGACTTCGGTGATCGTAAAAGATCTGGTGCTTCAACATGATGTAGCCATAAGCCTTGTTAAATAATTGGATCACTATAATTTAGCTATTGTCACTGGTATTTATTGTATATAGAAATACAATTATGGTACAAGGTCAAAAAAAAGGGAAGGGGTTGAGGCTGGTCTGCACTATCTTATACCTAGCTAATCCGATACACGACCTATTCATTCATTACAATTTGCACATTCACCACAAAAATTCGTCCATCACCAATCAATCCTCCAGACACCATAATACCACACACTCTCAAGGGGGGGGGGCTACAAAACGCACCCCCATGCCATAAAAATTTAATGATAATAAATTATTATATATAAAAATCTAAAGATGAAGAACGAAAGGGAAAGGAGATGAACTCAATAACAAACTAAACATAAGCTATTGTTACTACTTTATCCACTATTAATTGGAATTAGGTTGAAGATAATTGCTTACTGAAGGCAGATCTAGCACACTAATAAGTAACGTCTTATTTAAATTGTTAGTTTTTCTTAGGTTTTCATTGAAGTCATTCTTTGCCATTATAATTATTTACACTGGATATGTATTTAATATCAATTATTATTATTCAAGCTGTCATCTTCCTTCAGGACTGTGGGCCCAGTAAATTGTAGCCAAGCCACTTTTCCAATACCACCAAGAAAACAAAATCATGGTATGCGTATAAAACAATTATGTCCTTTCTTTCTGACAGTAAGATGCCAAGTTACATGCATGACGCAAAAATCAGACATGAACTTAGGATTGTTTATTAATATGATAGGGAACTAGTGTCATACCTGAATAAATTCAGTTGTATTTCCATAGTCTGACGGATGTATTCGACTGTGTGCAAAGCATCTGTTCACACCCCTCCCTGGTCTTTTGAACAGGTGCAGAGGTTTATTCCTTGTTCCCTGTTTAGGATTGGGTTTCCAGTTCCTTCTAAGGTCTTTTCATTCTCTTTCACTCCCAGTAGCCATTTGCATCTTAGTGGCATTATTGCATTGCATGGGGTGAATTGATAAAAAAAAAAATAATAATAAAAAATGACACTCTATGGACAAGAATCTGGATATAAGAACACATAACCTGGACTGGTCTGTCAAAAGGTCAGCAATCAATGTTTGGATAGATCATCAAAGCACCATCTGATGACAAAACAGGAAGATTATTCACAGAGTCCCAGACACTGGCATGCAACTGAGACATTGGGAGTTGGTCAGATGCTCTGGTATACAGTGACCCCACAACAACTGGAATGATGATGATGAACCTTAAAACACCATATATTTGATTCCTGTGCATTAAAATAGGTATTACGACATTTCAAATGAATGTCTGGGAATATGTTTTCTGGAAACATGTCTAGAAGAATGTGTTCAATACGTTTTCAATCAAGAAATCAATATCAGTAAAGGTGTTTTCAATTTAATACAAATTCAAGAACTAAGGTTGAAGAGAAAAATAAAAATAAAACCCTACCCAGTGCAGGGATTGAGCTCGCAACCTTCAGTCAACCAGCTAGAGACTTTAGCATTTAATGGAGATGTCACCCCTGTTGACTGGAATAAGATCACTCAGTGAAGATCTCTAAAAGCTATGACTTTATCTTTCTTTCCAGTTAATTTTTTTTTTTTCCTGGAGAACCTTTATCACTGCTTTAATCTCATTCAGGACTTTTACCAGTCAGTCAACTGGTTTGTTTTATGGCATATCAACCTCAACAGGTTATTTAATACCAACAAGATTTTTATTGTTGGTAATAATTTTTCCAAAAATGTTTTGCTGATAATATTTTTTTCCTTAAAAAATTCATTGCTAGTAATAATATTTTACAAAAAAGTATTGCTTGTATTAAAACATATTTTTACACTTTCCTAATGTTTTGGCCACAGTTTATGGGTTAAATATTTGCCCATAACTAGGACCCTAACAGTTGCTACCACTCTGGGTGAAGGTGGACCCGGGAGCACCAGCAATTAAGAAGTGGTTCCACACTCCTCAAAACTTCCTGAACAGAGGCTTTGCTGTTGAATGTAGTTTATAGCTTTACCCAGGTCAATTGCCGAGAAAGTAAAATAGGAAATGGAAGAGAAGAAAACAGAAGATTAGGAAGTTAAAACAAACAGAGATAACAAGAACAATGATTATTACTTAATTTAAACTACAAGAACCACTAATATCAAGCAGGAACTCTGGTGATTTGATGCCAAAAAGGATGAAATTAGGAGTCTTTGAATCTTTGATTCTGCAATTGATCTATCATAATTTGTTGATCAATGCATTGTTTTTATGTGCATCTTGGCCACATAGCTTCCATGTGTCTAATGGTTGGAGGTTCAAAAATACAAACGTGCCCATCTACACACTGATCGCTGATTTTTAGGCTGACCAATTTAGGTTAAAATTTCTCTATATTCACATTCTTACCTATGGAGTAGAAGTTTCTGATGTTTTGTACATGGTTGAACACACTAATCAGATTATGGATAAGTAAATAGGTAGGTGCTGACTCTAGTCAATGAAGCATTTCACAACGGTCAGTATTGTGGCAGGCTTCAATTACATACACCTCGTTGGGGAAAAAAGAAAAAAAAATTGTATTTCATTTTGCTTATTATTAAAAAAGTTTTTAACCCACATATATATGTGCAAACCAATTTACAATACTTTTGCTTATTATAGTACTTCAAATAAAGTTTACAAAAATAATCATGATCAATAAAATTATTTGGTATTTCTATAGTACTAAGAATAGTAGTGGTAATAAGCACATCCCATCTCCCCTCTCGCTTGTATCCATCCATCACAATAAAATAAACGTTTTTCATCACTAAAGCTGAATTAGTAAAATAAAACTTCCTAAGGTTCTACTTAGAGTTTTTGCTATATTACACTCCCTCACTTGTTTAAAAAAATTTTAATTATCTACTAAGAGTTAAAAGTAAAACGTAGCTTCATGTAAAAAGTGTAAAGGTTGCAAAAGAAGCCATATTAAGAAAAAATTGGCTTGAATAAGTGTCGTAGGGCGTTTAAGGTTTTAAACTTGATACAATTTTTGTTTTAAATCTTCACAACTTTTACATAGGATTCAAGCATTATTTTTGTACCATTGTGTATTATCTTGTACAAAGGACTGGTGTACATTATTTATCTTTTTTCGATCGTACGTCAAGCTGTCTCCCTCTCATGATAGATTTTTCTGAAGATGGTGTAGATTTTTTTTTTACATTGGGGATAAGTCTGGTTTCTTGACTGTGTTCTGTTGGGTAAAGAAAGTGAGATATCACTCGGTGAAAAATATAATTTACTGATAAAAATAAAATAAAGAATTTTTCGGTCTGTGTACACTGCAAACAGTCAAAGTAATCACGGAGTTGGCGAGTCATTGTGCTTGAACATAAGCATAAAGAAGGAACGTCAATAAAAAAAAAAAATCTGACAATTTCCTTTGACAAAGATATTTTTTTATCGTTTTCTGATTCGATGTCACACTTGCCGACATTTGGCTCTTTAGAGCTGCTTGGCCAGTTTTTAATGACTGACTTACTTATATAATCGAAAACTCGTACTCTTTTCACTGGGAATTACTTAAAAAATTTATGGACCGAGGAACTATCATATATATTGTAGCGTAACAATACGGGTTACACGCTATTTATATACAGACTGCTTAAATCTTTGTTGAAAAGAATTTATTTTCAACAAAAATAGGCAGTCTGCATAGCGTGAAAAACCGTTCGGTTACACATGATAGCTCCTCACCCCATAAATTTTTAGATTTAGGGGATCACTTCTTTTCCACCTGGGATAAAACAGTTTTTGACACTCAGTAACATATTTTTTTAATGTTACTGTTTTATAGAAATATTTCCAACGTGGAGACTGTTTAAAATGTTTCCTTGAAAAAAGAAAAATCCGAAACCGTTTACCGGGCATGTTGAGGAAAAGCAGTAGCGACTTTTTAACACTATTTTTTTTTTCTTTTAAATTAAAACGAAAGAATTAAATTAATTTTCTTATGACAGGATTAGTTTTATTTAATTTTTTTTATTCAAGCATGATATTAATGAAATTTTGCCATTGTGATTTAGGAAATTTAATTCATTAGTTTTTTTTTGGGTTTTTTTTCCGTAAAATAAATAAAAAATATTCCAGCCTAACGGTTTTTTCCTATTTTAAAACCAGTGAATTATTGTCAGCTTCTTATTTTTATGCGATACAACTGGATCAAATTTCATAATAAATGACAAAAAAAAAAAAAAATAATAATAATAAAAAAAGTAAAAAAAATAATGTTAAACTCAAAAAGAAGAAAGACTAACTTTATTAACTTAATTCTTTCCATAAGCATGCTCGGTAAACGGTAGTCGTGCGGGGGAAAAAAGTTTTAAAACAAGTGACAGAATGAATTAACGAAGGGATTTAAGTACCCGGTACCAAATATAAAACCATAAGTTTTGTTTTGCCAGTCCAATAAAAATGTGTTAAACCAAAATATTTTTTTTAAAAAGTAAACCAAATTGTTAGCAATAATTTTTAAAAATGCCAAACGTGAAAGGAAAGTACCCACCCCCTTTCAAGAAGATGAAGTTGAGATAAACTCACATTGACTTGTAGAAACATTAGATAGTTGTCATTTTCAACATGCTTCTGCCAAGAAAATACAACTCGATTTCTTCAAGAGATTTTCCTTTGGTTTCTGGCAGTATTAACCATACAAAAAACGTGCCAACAAAACAGCAGATCGAAAAGCTCCAAAATGTTTCAGCTGGACCGATTGTGTCTTTGAATGTAATAAACTCCTTAGTTACTATAAAAGCACTGAACCAGCTTATAAATATGGAACAAGCGCCGGCTTTTCCCCGTGCTTGCGAGGGGAAAATCTCTGACATTACAAGCATCGGTATGGGGCCCCATCCAAGAGAGAAACCAATCATAAAAATCATCAGACTGCCTAGAGCCATTCCACTCAAGTTTGTAACCATGGATGAATCGAAGTCCTTCATCGCGTAGTACAAGCCG